AGACTGTACAAACTTTTATCACACTTAACATTGACCCTTAACTTCCTTCGAAAAGTTACATCAAAGTCGCACTAACTTCAAAGAAACTGTTTTCGAGAAGAAAGCGTCTTATCTGAATTGAAAAGAAAATAGCTTCCCGAATTGGGCTTTTCTTTCTAAACTACCCCACAATACAGTAGATAATCAATTTTATAACTTACCTTCATACCAAAATCGCCATGAAAATCTTTAGAATATTCAATATACATAGATTTAGGTCGCTATAGCTATAGCAAGATGTGCGAAAACGCGGCCGCCATTTTACAAATTGACACCGCAAGGCAGTGTGGGACGTATCCCACTCCTCCTCTAGGTTTAGAACAAAGAATTTCAGTGTCCTGGAAACGTGACGTTACGATTGTAGTAGTGATCATGGTAGATAGTGTTATAGCGTACAGCGATGGCCTTTTGCAGCTAGAGGTCACGTGCTTGGAAACCCCATAGCAACGCCTTGCTGGACTGCAAGCGTTCTTGTAAACAAAAGTGTTATAGAGGTCAAGTTCGTGTGGTTTCAAACAAAAGTTTCAAGTGGTTTAGAGACTCAGTTTTTTTTTAATCTTGTCATTATCGTCACGTATCGTACTGAACCCTAGTTTTGGATTATATTGAGAACCGACTGCTGTTTCAAACGCCCGCTTCAGGAAGGTTTGCGGATGCAAACGCTCGTCGCGACGAATAAAAATGGCGACTTCGCAAGGTATGTGTAGTAAAAAATACACCTAGAACGTTACTTATTTAAACTATTTTGGTCGAAAACTGCTAAGAAACAAAAGTATATTCCAGAAAAAAAAAGATTTTCAAAGGAATGAAGACCGTAAATGTCCAAACAAGGAAAATTTTTGTGTTTGAAGTTGTGCTATACAAGCGCCACAAAAGCACCCGCGCTAAAAGCGACAACATATGTAATGTCTCTTTTATATGTTCTCCTAAGGTAACACCGGTGATGATGGCAATGAAATTACTGTTACAAAAGTTCGTGGAAAGTCCACAACTTTTCACTGTTGTGTTCCCCGCTGTAACGGAGACTCGAGGTATGACAGCGATCTAAGTTTTCATCGAATACCCGGTCAACCAGGCAAAGAGGATATACGAAAACAGTGGCTTGTGAAAATACGAAGAGACGAAGGCCCAAAATTCAAGGTATGAGTAGGGTCGGTTTCAGATTAAAGATAAATCTCTTGACCATAAGT